ATTTCATTTATTTATTTGGTTTCATTTGGTTTTTGTTGTTAACACATCACAGTTATCATCTATTTCTGCCACACATATCTGATTTTCTAATCACAGTAATATGTTTGGACTTCTTATCGACTGATAACAATTGCCGTTTGTGTTGTTATTTAAATTTTTAAGAGCGATAACGAGAAGGGATGAAATTCGTTGTTGATGACTTTTTATGTGGATTGGGTGGATGGATGTGAGAAAGGCAAAAGATTGATTACTTGTCTGAAGGAGAGAACGAGTAATAGTGTCCAGTTATCGGTAATTTATCGTTGATACTTACGTCCATCAAATGAAGTCAGAAGAACTCGATCTGTATTTGTAGAGAGCACTGAATTCGTTAAAACTTTATAGTTTCTTCGAATTAAAAAAAAGACAATTTTATAATTTATTTTCTGTAAGAAATAGTTATATTAAATTCCATGATTAATGGAAGAATTAAATATTCATAACTCAATAATCTTGGTTTCTTTGATTATCCTTCTTCACAGTAGTGATTGGGAAATTTTTGCGAATGAAAAAAATCATTTATAAATTCGAACTTTATTTTATGAAATTATTTCTTCTTGCTTTATAATTTGATTGTTCTATTCTAGATGTTAAGAGCTGTAAAAATGCACTAATCCTTCATCTTTCAACCGCATTCTCATGTTACTAAACATAGGACGTAACACAGTGTCCTACGCAAATATTTTCCTCATTGATTTCATATCATCATTAAAGTTTCAAATAGCAACATACAAGATGAAAGTGTCAAATAACAACATGTGGATACGGTACATACTGTTTATTTGGTACCATAATAGATATTGATAAATTGGGGCAATAGAAAAAAAGCCTTCAATTATGCAACTTGGTGCCACTGCCAGAAAAATGCGCTGCAATTAATAAGTAATGTTTTTTCAGGTATATACTATTGGTACTGATTTGTTCTACAATTATTTTTTGCATGCTGTTGGCGCGCAGTCTATCAATAAAGGCATCAGCTGAGGATATAAATTTACTTAGCAAAGTGTTAAGTCATTCTATTACTACTGATGCAGTTAAAGTTGTCGTCAAGAATGCTACTGTAGCACTTGAGATACGTTCTCTTTTTCATTTTATTTTGAATTTGGTGTAAATTTTTCTTACTAAATAATTTATAAATATACAAAAGTTTTCAGAAAATTGAAAAAGAGAGCTGTACATATATCTGTAACTTAATTTGCATTATATATTCATATAAAGAAATGCGTTCAACATTAAGTTGATCTATAAATATTGAAAATTACTAGAAAGGTTCTGAATCTTTTTTCTTAGATTTGTACATATTTAAATGTTCAATTTCAGGATAAAACAGTACTTTATTATCTGGAGGCAAAACCACCAAGCAAGGTAAAATATCGCGGAAATCTCTTATATTTGCATGGAGCTGCATATTCTTCCCATGATTGGAATAGAAATAAACCTTCTATTATGCAAGTTAGTGCCGCTGCTGGATATCGAACTATTGCCATTGATTTACCCAGTGAGACATCATTCAACATTGTCTTTAGATAACGAAAACCACGCTATTGATAAATTTAAAAAAAAGAATTTTTCCAAAAAGAGTTTTGATCACCTTTCGTAAAAATCATCAGAGTAATTAGGATATCTAATGTTTATAACGATATCATGCATACGGTAACCATATTACCGTATATTCTGTTAGTGATCAAATTTACCTACAATTTGTTGCTTTCAGACTTCAGTCGCAGTCGGACCAAAAGTTTGACACCAAATGATCATTCCACATTCTTGTCATTAGTAATAAAAAATTTAAATATCCATAAGCCAATCATCATAAGTCCTTCTGCAAGTGGAAGTTATTCAATACCTTATGTACTCAGTAATCCGAATAAAATCGATGGTTTCGTACCGGTAGCCCCTTGTTGTGTTCGCAATGATGGCTGGGAAAATTTCACGGTTTGTTTCGCAAAATTTAAATTTAGGATTGATCCTTTTTCTTATTTTGCATATTAATTGATTTGTTGTGTATTTAGAGGGACATTAAAAATGAAATAATTTCCAACCTTCCAACAGAATACGCATGCTGTTCTCAAGCGAGTTACAAATCATTGAATATAGCACAACTGTTCCGTGTAACTGTTTTTCTGATTGCTTTTAAGAATTATTACAATTAGAAATTTCAATAACTTTCAATAAAAATATTGTCAAATACGAATTTTTCTTCATGCATGGCATTATACAAAATTAAAATAGTTTGATATTATAACAGATAGATATTGCAACGCATAATGACAAATAAATAATTGCATATCGACTGCTTGATGCCTAATTTACCCTTATTTGTAAACATTTACTATATTGGATTATATTTCAATAGCATATTAGTGTGCCACGTTGAAGTTTTATACAGTCTTGGAGTTTTTAAATTCTAGTTTTTTCCAAATTTTCGATGTTATAGTACTAACTTTTTCGTAGTATTTCCGTGTAAATTCAGCTTTTTATTCATATTGAAGATTGAACTAGAATAGAGCAATATTAATTTCAAATTAAAAAATTCTTGCGCAGTTAATTATTCACATTAATTTTATTTTTATCCCAATCTAGTGAGAAATTATAGCATTCCTACGTTGTACCATTGTGCTACCTTATCTTTCACTACTCTTATTTTTATAGCTTATCAATTCGTCTTCATCATTATATGTCGTTGAATTTCTCACATACTTTTTATAATGAAACTTTCAAATGGTAGACAGTAATCACTATTCCAGGTGCCTACGCTCATAATTTACGGCAACCAAGATAAAGCGCCGATTTCAACGATGCTGCTCAAAATTCCAAAAAAGAATCTAGTAATCATTCCGGATGCGCCGCATGCTGCGTATATCAAAAAACCAATTGATTTCGTGACTATTTTGGTCAATTTTTTGTATTCCATTCATCCTTCCTGAAGCAAATATACACATTGTTGAATATCTGAGTGAATTATTGGTTGAATAAATTTTCTTGAATAATTTCACATGCTATATGGATTGCAACTTCATAATTTGTTTGAGAAATGCAGAATGTGGTCATTTATAAGCTTCCGGTAAGCAACAGATGATTCATGCTAAATTAAAATGTAACAAAAATGGACATGAAGAAGTTTTACTAGTTTGAAATATTTGCTGTAGTTTCCTTACAATGATACCGAGTAGAAACATTGATGAATGAGTTAACAGCAATGATATTATGGAGAAACCTGGAACTAGGATTTATTGTTTCTTTTCAAAGTAAGCAGGTGTAATTTTGTAATCAAATATATAATTTTCACTTGAGCATCATTATCCTTCTGCTTTTGTTATCTAATATTTTCCTAGTGTAATTTCTTTTTCGGAAATGCAGTTGAATAATGGAACCATTTTAAATAATAATTTCCAGTCTTCAGAGAAGCAAATTGATACCGTGAGAAAAATCATTGATGCCGAGCTTATAGATGCAATCATCCGAAGATGAACATTTTAAAATCCTCCACCGAACGTCACTTTTATTCGTCCATTCAACCATATCATCTGCAATCCGAACAAGTTAAAAAGATTCTAATTCGTTACAATCATTTAAAATTTTATCAGAGGTACTATCAGCAGGGATATACGTATTGGTTTAACATATTGCAATTTATCTAATCTTATTTTCAGACTAAAAAAAAAAAAGCTAATTGTTTACCAAATTCACACGATGGTATTGAACATGGTTCGACGATGTACTGAATACTATCATCATACGACAGAACAAGGCCTTTCTTTATGCGCCAGCGACTACGTAAACTATTACCGCAAGTTGCACTGCATGCTGTCCATTCATTCCACGCTAGCCACTCATGCGTCAATACACGTTTTGATCCGTGAAGTGTCGTCTTAACTAATTCAATGTTAGAGATTACAAAATGGTTAGGGATAATGAATTTACTAAAAAAAAATATTTAAATTCGAACAAAATCAACAGATCTTCTTTAATATCTATACAGCATTAGTTATTATTCATTTAAATTATTTTATTTTATCCACTTTCTAACTTTAGTATGAATAACAATAAACCAAAATAAATCACAATAATTCAATTCTTACTTTGATTGACATGGGATCCGGTATTTCAACACCACAGCTTGCACGATATCGAATTTCAGTACTTCCTTCTAATGTTAACCATTGACTCCAAGCACTGTACCGTCGAACTTCTGGAGAAGAGAGAAAGTGATTAGTGATTATATGGAACAGATATGATATCAGCATAAGCTAAGAATTATTTAGATGAAATGTTTTAAACATTTTTCATTATGAGCTTCTTTTTGTGTTTTAATATACAATTAATATTATTTGATTGACAGAAGCTAAAAAGATCTGACGGTCCTCAAATTTTGATTGTGGTGACGAAATAAAAATGAAATAATCACCATTACAAGATACGTTATTACATGGTTGATACTGTTGTTGATTTTCTTTGAAAGAACTGTTGCGATTATTGCCAAGTAAACAGCGCCTTTCTCGATTTCGATATCCTCCACCACATCTCTGTGAACAGCTACTCCATTCTGTCCATTCGCAGTTACATTGCCGCCTACAATTTTGACATAGTAAGTTGATGCTTCTTTACTTTTTCTTCACTTCAAATTGATCAATATTCTTATCCTCGAGGTATCTTCACGATATAACTTCCCATCAGTAATATACTTTAAACAAGCAATCATTACGCATCGTTTGCGCTTCCCAACGGATGATGAAATCTAAAAATTCATCTCCTGAATAAAATAGATTTTTTAGAACAAGAGAATTACGTAATTCTCGTACATTTTCTTCCTCAAATACCTACCTTGTATTTTGGTTGATATTCTCGGCAATTTCTGAAGACCAATCTTTTACTTTGTATTCTTTGAAAGAATCCGATGCAAGTACTGTGAATGACTGAAAAATACTGTCAAAGCAGGAAAATTTGGATTGTAAAAATGTGTTAATTAAAGTATGCTTTCAAGTTTTTAAATTCCGACAAAAACTGAAAATTTAAAAATTTTTCAAACTGAAATTCAAAAACTATCATAAAAATGTTTGCTCGATTGATATTCAGAATGAAATTACCTTTTTTCGAATTCTCATTTCCAATATTTTCCCACTGACCATAATCTGGTCAATCCACTTCTCATTAATCAAGCTACCATTAAAGATTAGGCCGTATACTTCCGCTTTTTTGGACATTGCAATAATTTGATAGTTTCCGTCATCGCTGTATTCTACATTTACAGATACTATTCTGCAATGCTATGTTACTGTAACATTGTATTTCACTAATTATACTAGAAATTTAGTTTTTCAATCAATATTTGCCATATACGTGTATATATCAATAAATTCTGTCTTGTTATAATCAATTTTGATTGGTAATTAAGCGTGAAGAGTGATAACAATGACAATTAATAATTTTTTTACTTAAACGAATATATAGTACAACGGAAAAAAATAATTTGACGTGGTTTTAATTCCAATCTAAAGCGGGAAATATGAGCGAAATTACTTAGAGATCGATAATTATTTATTGAAGCTTACTCAGTCATTTCTGGGAAAATGTAATATGCATGCGGATTCGGAAAAGTTGCTGTTTTGTCTAAAATTCTTGGAAAACCAGATTTGTTTCTTTTTGGACAGTGACTTTCTTTCATTTTCCAAGTCGCTTCGAGAACTTTATCTTCACCAAATAATTTTTCCTCTATGATGTTTAGGTCGAATATACATAAAGCAGATATCGGCAACCGCCCAAAACCATTCCAAAATATGATGAAAATGATATTTGAAGATATTTGCGCCGTTTTGAGTATTTTCAATTGTAAATTATTGAAGCCTAGAGGACAAGTAAGAGAAAGTTTGCCAAATGAATTGAATGTATTTTTGTACGGTACGTCGATATCAGTGATGCCCACGTCATTTGCGCATATACCACCAATCCGGCCCTGCAATAAGTCAAATACCAGAGTAGATGCAAAAATTTATAATAGTTCTTTTATTTCAATATTTTACCATTAGTTTTTAATGTCACGCTGCCTTTAACTTGCCAATTAATTAGTCAAAAACTTTTTTATTCGGCCCGAATGCAAAGCAAATTTATCAAATTTGATTCGAAACTTACTTGTGCACCTTGATAAGTTTTTTCATTGAAAATGACGTACACATATTGTTTCCAGCCAAATAATGCAATGAATTCTGGCTCTGAAGGTTATCATTGAAACGATGCATTTCTGGCAATGATTAATCAAGAGGAATAAAATGTGGTAAATCAGAAAAACTCAGTCATTGCGCTTCAGATGAGTTAAGTTAGATCAAGGAAAGTTTGTGTATTCTCTAGAAGAAGTAAGGCCATGAAATTATCACTTGAATTAGAATTTGATCTTTCCAATCTTGTTGATTAAAAGCTGTACGCTTAATACTATTGTCGACTAATATCATGACATTACTTGAGACTAATTTCAATTTTTTCTCTTTCCAACATTAAATTAACCCTAACCTGATTTAACTAATTCAGTTATATATTAAATTAATACCATTAAACCAACGATCATCGTTAACAGGTATCCAAAGCTTTCGATGCTGTGGAAGAGCTCGAAGCAATGTTTGCATCTGACATGAAATATCCACAGCTAATGCCGTGAATGTATAATTTTGATATGATAGGTGATAGGCTGGGCAATCTCTACTGAACGTACTGAGACCAATAGCATTTATCCCAACTTCGCATTCTTCAAATAAATTTCGCTTCTGAAACAGTTCCTTACATTTCTTTTCAATGATAAGGGAATTTATCAATTTTCCAAAACTGAAACCAACCGATCAATATCTCGTCATTAAGCATGATGCATTTTCTGAAGCTTGCATAATGCAAGCCAATGTATTATTTTTCCATTTAAAAAGTATTAAAAGATGATGTTAATCTTTAGTAGAGATTTAAATGAATTAACATTTCTTATCTGACAATACGGTGAGAGCGCATTTGTACCACAAATACGCAAGCAATTGTTTCCATGACGTGACAAAAGTGTGATATCATTTTGACATTTTCTCTGTAAACAATTCTACTTTGGTAAATGGAATATTTGTGGTACACTTTAATCTATCTTTTAGTTGCACGCTCCATCAATATGCGAAAAATGATAAACAATTTTCCATCAATGTGCGGTAAATGACAAACAATTTTATGAAGTATAAACATACAGCAGGAAATGAATTGCAGAAAATAAAGTGATAGATGATAAAAGTTCAATAACAACAAAAAAATCAAAACCAACCTCTCCAAATCCCTTCATCAAGCATTCTGCCGCTCCTGTGGCTGTTACATTTAATGGTACTATCTCTTTTAAGCGGAAACTTTTAGCAGATATTGTTATAATTCGATTCCTAAAATATCATTTCATGATAGCTGTCAGTTGCTTATAGTTGGCTTCTTTACTTTTTGTTATTATCTTCTCGACAAATCACCTAAATACAAGTTCTTTAATAGGGTCTTCAAAAAATCGAGAATTTGCAAATAAAATTATTAAAAGAAGATATCTTTGGTGAAGTTCATTCATTATCACTTGTCTCCATATCAGTATTACTGATCTTAGCAATTAATCGAATTATAAAACTTTGCGTGAGAAAACTATTCCAATGCTCAACAAAATATCGAATTAGCATTTCGCATTAAAAAGGAATGGTACAATTTCGAGCAACTTTCTTTCTCTCTCTGGTTTTTACTATTTCATTTCTTCTGCAAACAAATGGAAGATCTTTTTGATGTTTCCGCAAAAACATTTGGCAATAATAATTAAGCTTCACACTGACCAATCTTTTTTTTCCTTCTCCCATCCTTGTTTCCACCTTCGTTATAATAAGAATTCAGTTAGGATACTAGACAGAGGAACTATATTGGAATACATCTAATAATAATTAATAATAATTTAAAGATTTCGAAAACAACGGAGAATAAAACTTGACAATAACGAAGTTTGGTCGATAAAAGATGAAGTCAAATTTTTAGTGATTAAAATACACATAATTACTATTGTTCTTTGAATTATAGTGAAATCAACTTACTTTGATCCAATGAAGAAAGTATTATCGTCTTCTAATACAGTCAATAAGTCGCTTGCCAAATATTCATTTAGAACGATTAATTTCTTGCATGGATATATCTCAATAAGAATCGAATAAATAACGAAGATGGAGAAAGGCAACAACATAAGGCACGAAGAATACTTTAAAAAATCTAGGATGATTGATATAAATTGGTCGATAACAAACCATCTGCTGCATGAGAATAAAATGATAAATACATTTTGAATATCGTAGAAAGGAGGGAGATGGCGAATAATTTAAAAAACAGAAAAAATTCAGCCATTTTATTCTCATTTCTAATTGTCAAAGTTGCATTAATGCCCTAAAATCATTCTCTTTTATATTAAGATTGGGAATAATAATTACTAATATCAGCAATATTCCATTTTTCCCTTACATTTTTTTGGCCAATATTTCTAATTTGTGGTTAAACGAGAGAGTTTAATTATATTCCAAGTAAGTACAATGCTTATTGATAGATTATTTAGGATGACAATATCATATGTACTACAATTTCGATAATTTGAAATACAAATTTGAGTGCAAACTTTATTTCTACATTACTAATAATTAATAATAAGAAATCATTTTAAATGGAAGACTGAATTAGCGATACTAGCTGTGACATAGAGTTGACTGGAAGAAAGAATTGACGAAATTCTTGAAGCTCATTTGATCTTACCTAAGATTACTACTTAACGGGTATTGTTTTTGGTACAGTATAGATGAGCAATGTAATCAATATTTGGATAAAAACACGACGCGATTCATTTTAGCTTCAGTAGAAAAAAATAAATAAGAACGATGTAACACTGATAAGATAATATGTCATAGATAAGGAAACAAATATCTGCCTTTTGATTTAATGAGGTCAATATTCAATGACTTTCATTTAACAGTATGCGTAAAAAATGGCTTAGCATGCCAATTTTCATGGCCATTTCATGTCAGTTGAAGATTTTTATCAAGTTATCATACTTTCTCATATGCAAATAACGGATCCGATATTGAACACCAATTTTAACAGTCGAATTCTCATTCCTTTTCAAATACTCTTTTCCAGATAAAATATTGTGAAAATTTGTCATTTTGATTAAGTGAGTTCATTTCTCTGATTTTTTTTCGTTCCGTTTGTTGACTAATTTTAATAGTGATTAGTGATGAAAACAATTCACGGAAAATGTACAAAGAAACATTTTCCATGAAGTTTCTTCTGTTTCATCAGTAATCACAAGCTGTTCACAAACTGCATCGTTTCATGGCAGCAATAAGAGGGACGTTTTCAATAAATAACTGTTGAATTCATATTCTTTTCTTGAAATTACTTTACGAGCAAGTTTAGTTTCAAGAAAAAGTAATATCAACTGATTTTATTTTCCTCAGTGGTATTTCTTTATTTCTGTATGTTTCCAATTTCATCACCTCTTCGGCATATTCAAAGGTTCCCGAGATCTCATTCTCGTCTTCCAATTATTCAGAACTATTTTCCTCCATTCCACAAAAAGGAATGTGCAGAGATCGATATATTACCAAAATTTCCTACCACAAATCCCACACGAACGCACACTCCCGCTAATTTCTTTGCATCGCATAGAGCCGAATTTTACGAAATTTGTTGGAGACCGATCAGTTATATAAACTTCGTAAATTCGGATCCGTCTCTCTCTCTCTGCCGTCACGTTTTAGTTTCAGTTTAATTGTTTAATTTATTTCAATATCGTTTTGCTATGGTTCAGTGAGTCCAAATGACCACGAGCTATTCGTTATCCATTCGGCAGCTCAATTTATGTTTAGATTGCACATCATTAATCTGTTCTAAACAATGCGTAAATAACGTTATTCATAAGATTAATAGCTGATTTTATGAAATTATTTGGCTAAGAAACTTTATTACTCTTTCCTGGCCGGAATCGATTCATATAAATTATTCATCATCATGTACAGGAATTTTACTTGAATCGAACTTTTGACGTTCGTGTGTTTATCTATTCTCTGGTAATTTCTAAGAATTATTTTTATTTCCTAATTTTAGGCGCAGTACAGGTTGATGGTTGATTTTATTTCTTTTGTGTGGAAATTTATTTGTGATGGAGTTAGGAGGCTGACTTTTAGGTTGTATAGCGGATGATATGAAATATTGAAACACCTTATGAAAACTACGTCTTCTAATTTACATCTCAAACTTTGGCAAAAAATCTTCTTCAAGCGTATATAACTCTTTAAACCATTTAAGAACTCAATCATATCTTAATTCACTTACAATCTCTTTTTTTTGAATTTTTCAGTCATTTTGATTTCGAATCGTTTACTCATTAATGAGATGCCAAATTTTTTTTTCGACTGAACACGGACATGGAAAATTTGCTTTTCAATAAATTTGGAAAAGGTTTCTCATGGCGCATATGGTTGTTTATCTATAGCTGATAAGGAGAATGAAAAAATCAAAAAATCCTTCTAAATTTTGCATTTTTTATCAAGAGCAAGGATTTGATTCTTTATTTATTTGTACAAGTTATCTAGCAAAGGACTGGACAGTTTCAAAATAATGCTCCTACTAAATGATATGATAATCAAATAAACTGAATCATTTTTCCTCAAAGAATAATTCATAATTTTATTTCCTGGTTTTGTAGATGCTTTTTGAGTCCTTCTGTCTGCACATGTTTGGTTTGAACTTTCCATACTTAAAGTAAAATTTTTTATGGAGTAAATCATTTATGAAGATCGTGTGATGGATATGTGCCACTATGTGGGGATGACAAACTAAGAGTGATCGTTTCACATTGGAAAGACAATTGGATGATAGATATCCGTATTGAAATGCAACCATTCAATTTGAATTATTGTGGTTGAACTTGTTGGGCTGTTCGAGTCTTTTCTGCAGATACCGTAATTTTCATTTCCTGTTTTCTGTCATGATTGTTTCTGATAGTGTGAATGTTGAATATCGTATTGTTTCGTTTTATTATATGTCCACGTTTTAACCTTCATATGGTTATGTTTATTTCGTTTATCACTCATTTTGTATCAGCCGGTTGTGTAATGTTTTGTATATGAAGGGTGGTTACGGATGCACATGTATGTATGTGGTGGTATTGCATATAGAGTGGTATAATAAAAATGTTTGTCTTTAAAACAAATATATTCTTCTGTTGCACAAATATGTGTCAGATATCACATGACTCTCTGATCATCCAATGCATCACATTAATCATTTTTGAAAGTTATCATGTGATAAATGATTCATATCGTCGAAGAAAAACAGTTTTCGCCATTCAATAATATTACTTGGTTGTCATCAATAGTTGGACTATCCGATTTTTCTCAGACAACATACTGGTATTAAAAGACGCAATAAGATTCTAGTAAGACTTTATGCTAACATCATGTTTTGTTAGAAGCAAAAAAAGAAAAAAACATCGACAATTATGCGTTTGAGTGGAAGTTCGTTTGAGGTTAATGCATTTCTCGTTGTAATGATGTAAAAATGAATTATATTTCTCATAGTAACAACATTCCTTATGCACATATATGAACGAAGTCGAACGTTTAACGTTTAACATTTCCTTCAGAGCTATCTTCGTGATGTTCTACTTGAATGATGAGTAAATGGCTGACAAGTATTAAATAAGTTATCGAGTTTAATTTTAGTTCACTCCAGCTGTAATCAGATTTTTATTTTTAGGATTTTCCTGATCAATTCTGCTGATTAGGTCATTGAAATTATCGTATCCAATTAGCCAGGCAGACGTTTTTAGAATGCTCATGAAAGATTTGAGTGCCTATGCACATTTAGGGAATACGTTGCATTGATTGATCGATTGACTAGCCGTGATGAATATCTTAAATTTTGATCTTGTGCATTTTTCTTATGTCACTGCTTGAGATCCTCGTACTGTTCCCATTTAAGAATTGTTAAAATGTCAATTACCGAATAATTAGTACTATATCTTGCAGTCCTAAGGAACTACACTGAATAGTAATAATATTCTTTGGAATTCTGTTTTACAAAGTTTGAATATTTTTTAAAATATATATTATGACTATCTGGAACACATTCCATGCAGTCATGACATATTAACCTTTCTAAGCTTATTGGCCTAATTTTTTTCAATAAATCAAATTTTTGCATTCAAATTATCAATAAGAAATGAGAACTGGCAACAGAATCTGTATGTACCTAATGAAAATTTTTTTCTGTAGTTGTTAACTTGTGTGTTTTCTTAATCAGAATTTTTGGGTAACTAACTCGATTTGTTTTAAGATTGCAAACAGGGTTAATTTTTATCCCGATCATCGGATATCCATTCGAGGGTTGAATGCTTTCGCCATTTTTCATAAAAAAATCAGTCAGGAAAAATCTGGTGATGAAATACATTTAATGAGCTTTGAAGTAAAAGAATAAAATTTCGTAGAGTACGCGATTTGAAAAGGTATCAAAGAGATTGAAAGTGGGGCAGAAGAAATAGCAGTTTGTAAGAATTGGACATATGTTGTTGAACTTCACATATAATTAGTATTCTTTCAGATCAACTCTTTGCTCAGAACATTGGAAAATATTTATTTGTTTTGATGGAAAAACATCAATATTTCTCATAATGACTTTCTTAAGTGAAACTTTCGCAAAGGGAGATGAGTGACAGTTTGTATGAAAAAGAGCTATTGAACAGTCACGATGGGTATCCCATTTTGAGATTTTTAGGGTCATTAATTCATTAATTAACCCTAGAAAATGTCTGCAGATAGAAGAAAAGTTTAGGAAGACATACACCAAAAATTATTCAAATGTAAAGTGAATTAAAAAATTTACATAATGCTAACTAATCAAATAGAAAATATGCATAATAATATTGTTGATCATCTGTGAATTTCGATAAAACAGCATTCATTGTAATGTGGTCCACAACGGAAGTTTAATTTTCTTCTTTTTAATATAGAGATTTTATATTTCTCTTTTCTTATTTTCTTTCGCAAAAAAAGTTTTTGTGTTGGTTTGATTCGTGTCTTATTGCATCTTCATGGAATGAATGTATTGGGTGGAAGAAATAGATGTTTGATTTATAGGTAGGATTGTTTTTTTCTTCCATCAAGAAGGGAAATGTTAATTTTATAAAAAACAAATTAA